TAGAAAGAACTACTGGCATTTGATAGGGAGTAGTGCTATTCAATAATACAAATTGGCTACTTCTTAAATTATAAGAACATCCGGTGGCAAAACCATTATTTATATTTATGGTACAATCCAGACCGCACAAACAAGAGCTAGTTCAGTTTGTTTTTCTAAATTGGCTCGACTAAGAATCGATTCGGAATATGAGAACTTATTGTAACATCTATACACTTACCATGTTTCTTGTATATAAATAAATATCATTTAGAAATAGCGATATTCATGTTTATAAGTGTTAGTTGCCACTTTTTTAAAACTGTCTCTATAATTGAAATTTGATATCATAGTGAAATCTTTATTGTAAGGACCAATGTGAATTTTCACATGTGTAATTTTCTAATAGTTTTAATTAATTTCTAATAGGTTCATAAAACAGTAATTTAGCATAATTGATAATTTCGTTAATATTATATAAAAATATTTGATTAAGAGATTAGTTTAGAAAAATGGTGCCTCAGAATTGACCCCAATGTATTTTAAGTAAAATACCTAAAAGCAAATACAAAAAAATATGATAAAACAAAAAACAACAGAGCTTAAGTATCTTTTTATACCTAACCTCACATTCCATGAGAATTGATATTTTTATTTTATTTATCAGAATAACTTGATTGGATGTTCACTACCAACTAATCTATTATAGCATATACAAATAACAACCTTTAATATATCTACCTAGACGGGCCGTTAATTAAATTTCCAACGTTATTGTTATGGTACTGCATCATGGCGATCCTAGATTGGACAATTTAATTGAGAGCGATTGATAATTTAGATAGAGTTTGCGTCAAAATGTTGTTCCCGTCTCAATATGGCATTTACGATTCACTTATTTACTCGTATTTATGCAAGTGTTAATTTGATTCAAAACATATGTCCGCATTATGTAATACATTAAAATATTTATTTCTATTTTTAGATTTTTAATAATTTCAAATAGGTATAAAATGTAGAATTTTTTGCTTACTTACTATAGATATTTAAACATTATTTTAAACTACAGGAAAGGTAAACGAGTTAACTCGAAAACGTGATATAACATTCACCTGTACACAGAAAAATTTACTGCTAAAGAATTACTGCTTTAGCAGTAGATTTTTCTATGCGTCCGCATTTAAAAGCAATTTTTTCCATTGTTCGTATAATCTCGACTCTATACTAAAGTTATTAGGTAAAAAGTTCTAGTATACTTAGTTCTAATTCCTTGTTCTATATTGCTGTTTTCTTAGATTAATGACAATAACCTTGAACTAATAGTGTTAATTAGTATTGAATAATATTCAGTAGTTTTTTACTCAATCACACTTGAACATCTATACGGAATTGAATGGAATTTGGTACACCGATAAACCATATTCTAGATTAAAATATAAGATACATTTTTAATATAATAAATAAGTACTTTAGAGGTGACTACATCTGCTTACTAAAACTTGAAAATTTAAAATTTGAAAAAAATTAAAGCACCTCGCTCAGTGCATACTTAACATTTGCGAGCGTGTAGACGTCATCTGTTTATGTAGTAGTAACAGTAATGGATCACGCTGTTTTTGTATGAAGTATCCGAGGTATTACTGCATCACGACAAAAATACATTTACCAGAGCAAGCCTTATACAAAACTCGTCTGCATGGGTACCTTTGTCCCGCTTGAGTGACAACGATCACGCGTCCAAACACTTTACATTTTACACGCCTGTGTTTCGATATGAAGGGTGAAATATGGCAGTGAAATTACAGGATGCAGAACTTAACTCTTTGGTTTTCCGGAATTGTAACGCATGAGAGGTAATCATGGATGTCGACGGTTATTACTTTCTATAAAATGGACCATAAGCCTTTTTGCGATTCCGAATTGCTTAAAAATTTTTACATTAAAAACAGTTTTTTATCGAAGCCAGTTAGAAAAATCTCGAATACTAGTAAACAATGCTTGTAAATATGCATTACCTACCGTGTTTACATATTTCATGCCAACTAATATGAGGTTTACGTAATAAATAATGTTATTATTATACTACTACAATATGTATTAAGAAAATGATGTGATACAAGGCTTAAATAAATGTGAACGTGACAAAGTCACAATAAAGTCGACTGTGAAATAGGTATTTAAGAATAATAATGCAGTGGTTACTCTATCTACGTTATTTGTTTATACTGGTAGAATACCAGTGGGGGGTCATAGGAAAAATGAAATCAGATCGGTTGCTTTCGTCATTACGAATTCGCCAGAAATTAAACATGCTAATTTTCAGCAGTTCCTAACAACATTATTAATATTGCTAATAGTTAGGCTACTACTCTCTATTAAATATTGAGCAGTTTTTAGCCGATACATTTTTTATCTCCCTCGAGACTACAATATGCAGTTCTTTAAAAATGGTATATTAAGGTTTCTCCAAGGTCGTCAATGCGCACGTGACACTCCTAGTGTTACGGGCGTTAAAAAGCTACAGTAACTGTTTACCATCAGACGAGCTATATTCTTGATTGCCACCTTTATGGTACAAAACAAAATTAAAACAAATCTGTAGTGACACTACACTTATAAAAATTCATCAAGCTATTTAGGTAACACATACAGTACCAAAATTTTAAACATACATTCATATATTCGAAAAAACATTAGCCTCCTTTCTTCAGCAATTAAGAAAAACCTAGTTACTAAATAAATCTTTATTATCATTATTGCTTTAACTAATATAACATTTGAAAGTAACTTAGAATTTCTATTTCAATGTAATACGTATACTTATTTATACAAGTGCAAATAACGCGGTATGCATTTGCTTCTTTGACTCACCAAAGGCCATTTAGCACCGATTTAGACGATCCAAATATTTTCACTGGCGACATATTTGCTTCACTGGCATTGCAAATTATTTACAGTAGTAAACACAATTCCTATACCCAGTTAACGCACAATTTACCCATAAAACCAATTATACAGTTTAATAAAGTATTAATGATACTCGTATTTTAGGGCATAAATGTTTAACTTCGATGTGCGTTTTTATAAATCACTGATTACTTCAATTTTTTTTTAATCGATGTTTTATTTTACTTCTGTACAAAAACAAATACTTCATGGAGCAAGCAAAATTAAATAATAATAATTTTGTATTACTACGACACAATATAGTAATATATGCAAAAATATTCACCGAGACTCATTTTAATTTTAATTACAAAGCTGTAAGTACATACTTACCAATTTAATACTATAAAACTTGCCATGATTGCGCGAAATTGCTTTTCGAACTTGCTTGTTTCATTATTGTAAAATTTAATACATACACTCGTTTCTGTTTGTGATGAGATATTCAAGAATAACCTCTATTAAATGACAACAACAATCCGGTTTTATAATGATCATGAAAAACATTAGATAGATAGATAGAAGATCGAAATGCTGCTTTCCATGTATATCATACAATACGAAGGGGGGGGGGCGTACGTACTATGCGTATGGACTACAATGCATTTTGTGATGTTCTGTGTTCCGTAGTTCATATAAGTTATTTTTTTATTTATGCATATAAATGCCGGTTACCGTATTACATGATGTGGGCCGTTAGTTTGCTCGCCATTCTAAGTAAAAAACTTATGTATGGTTATTGATAATAATTTATAAGTAATTGAAACGTTATGATTTTGCCCTACATAAAAAAATCGTGACCATCTGTTTTAAAAAGAATTATCAAAATCGGAATAGAATTTTTAAAAATAGCATGTAATATACACATAAAGACATTTAAGCGAATTTAGAATCGTCTCTCTTTTAATATCAACTAACAACAATTATAAAACTACATCCAAAGAGTAGTTTAAATAAAAAGACAATGGATGTTTTACATGTAACTAAATATTCTTTGCATATAGAAAAATATAACAGTAATATTATATGTACTCGTAATGTAACGTATTATTATCTATATAATTAGTTGGATATAAGATTATCTTGTTATAATGATGTTGTACGTCAATAATACGATAAGATGTGGCTGCAAAATATAAAATACGTCTGCTGTATTTCAATTAAAATGGCTCAAAATTGTGAACACCTAACCATAATAATATATTCATATAATAGATACGTAATATATTTACACGGTATGTAATTAAATTAAAATGCAATAAATTCAATTAAATGCTTAATGTTCCTAATTAATTAGGTGGGTACCTACAGATAAATCAGTAGCAAAATAAATATTACCTATAGATTATGACCGTCAAACACATAGATATGATAAACATAGTGATGTCACATTCGTATATCATTTTGATAGTGCATAATTCTACAATAAGGAACATATTGTAAAACTGTGATAATTCATTGCTATTATCAGTATATGTACTACCTATATTCTATGATTTCGCGTAGAAACCTGTAACTTCACATTTCCGTGTAACTTTATATAGAAAATATAAGTATAAAAAATAACTATTATTACATGAATAGTACAGGTAGCCTAATTCATTAATAATAGAATTTTTTAGATTTATTCCAATTATCCTACATTTAGATAATAAATAACTATATATAATCTTGCCTTTTTGATAGATAAGTTTAAAAAAATAATATTTCATTGATGCAACACTACATAATTTAATAATACAGTACACTCGTAAATAGAACTCACCTTATTAATTGATTGTTGAACTTATGTAGGTACTAAATTGCCAGTCTTTGGTATTATACAACAATAGGTAACAATTATAATGAAATCTAATGTAATCCAGTAATATAGAGCAAATATAAGAAATAACACATTCATGCAAGCAAACATAATTCAAACTAGGTTATAGTTTACAAAAAAGACAATATAACTATCGTTAGTTTTCACTTATTACGGAACAATCTCCAAAACAATTCTCTAATTGTCAGCATAAATACAATCACTGCACACAAAACTACAACGTGCGATGATGCTGGTCCACCAGTTGACTCACCCGAACTGCTTTTATCTTCCATTTTGTCTTTGGCTGTGAAACGTACAAAATCTTGCAAATGATTTGGCAAATTTTGAACATCGGTCTCTTTGTCACCTTCTATAACTTTTATTTTATGCTTTATCACTTTGGGTTCTCTATACACTTCCTTCGCGCTTTCTTTTTCGTCCTCCGTTTCAGGATCTTTTATACCTAACTTATCCCACCTTTCTCTCGCTTTCGATATAAATTCTTTTTCAATGCGATTATTTACCTTTGAATTTAATATATCAAGAGCTGGCATACTTTTAGATACTAATTGTGAATTAGATATTTTACCCGAATTAGTTATTTTTATAATTTTATGATGTTTTCTTTCCTGACGTTCAGCCATTTGGTTTATGTATTCAGAATACATTTTGTCACGTAATAATTCTTCTTGACTACTACTAAATAACGAACGTAACCGCCCATTGTCTTTTTTTTCTTGTTGCGTATTATGTTCTGTATTCCTTTTATAAAAATAGCTGCTATTATTTGTAATCTCTTCTTGATCTTTCATTAGCGGAGCTCTTGGCCCTCTTTTAGAAATCTGTGGTACATCCATTTTTTCAGATTCAAGACGACGTATTTCAGCTTCTACTTCCTTTTCTTTTTGACGAATATATTCCATTTGTTGATCACATAAATCTTTTGGCAAAGATGGTCGTCGCGGATATTTAAATTCGTTCACATGATCACGTATATTCGTAAAGTTCCTATGCATATTTTGTATAGAAGAAATATCATTTTCAATCTCCTTATTTAAGTTACCTGTAGAATAATGAAAGAATTTTCTTTCGCTTTTCATTGATCTAAAAGAATTATCAGTGAAATCTGAGCTCTCATCGCTTTCATAGAATGAAGACGTATACTTTTTAGGTCGTGGTGGCGGAATTGGTTTAAATGTATTCGAAAAATCTCTAAACGAATTAATATTATCATAGGTTCTTTTAGATATTGATTCCCTATTCACATAATAATTTTGTTTTTGATCAAAATGTGTATTAGAATATTTATTAATTGGAACATTTAATTTACATGTTATAGAAGGATCGCGCATAAGTGCTAGTAAACGACTCCCAGTTTGTGACTTAAATGGCATAATAGGTTTATTACTATTGGTTTCATTTTCAACTTTATTTTCCTCGTAATATTGATTATACCCTTGACGGTCAATCATTTTTTTATGACTGTCTGTAAGATTACTAGTATCTTCTTTTGTTATCACTGTATTTGTCTTTTCCATAAGCATTTTTTGTGATGGCGATAAACATACATAAACAGATTCATTCTTACTGGGTGATGTAGTCCAATGACTTTCATCTTGAGATATCTTTAGTGACGAAATCCGAGGTTTAATTGGTGGTGGAAGAGAATCTTTGCTTTTTGATGATAAAGATACTTTTTCAATATTTGAGATCTCAGGTCGAGGGAAATATGGCAATGTATCTAACTTTGGGTTTTCTTTTTGAGTCAAATATATATTTTCAGTAATATTAGTTTCAGACATGTTAATGTTTTGTAATCGTTTTGACACAGAAGCTAATTCCTCTAATATTTTATCACCATATGGAAATGTAGAAATTTTTCTTACGCATATATCTCGCAGCCTCAAAGGTTGCTTATTACTGATTTTATCAGCTTTATCCTTATTCAGTGCAGACTTTCCTGTAACACATTCAAACACATCTTTTACATGACTTTTAATATCTAATTCTTGTATTTTTTCTGTATTTGACTCAATGTTATTGCACATATCATCATGCATTGTGTTAGAAACATCATTAAGAGAGGAATAATTTGGATTATATTTGGTAGTGCACTGGGATGAACATACGCTACTTGAAGAGTCTTGTCGAACAAAATTATCTTTATGTACTTCCGAAGGATCTTCTGTATCCGTAGAGACTTCATTTATTAGATTATTTATAGCGTCATTTAATTCACATTTCAAAACTTTTAATTCTAAATTATAATTATCATTACTGCTTGGTATATTTGATATAATTTCACTTTTATCTACAGGAATATCATTACTTAAATTATTACTACTAAGATTGTTTTGTTCATTTGTTATATCATTATCTTTAGGATTTTCAAGCTCCTTGACATAAAGATCTGTTTTAATATTTTCTGTAGATAATATAACTATTTCATGTGGATTCTGAGCTGTCTGGTTCATGTTGTCTTCTACATTCGTTTTTGTTTCAATAGATTCATTACACTTTTCATTTTCTGTATGTGCCTTTTCTGACTCCATATTTTCTTCATTATTAGACAAAAACGTCTTTTTCAACAGTTCTTCGGTATTAGTCACTTCGATTGTCGGCGTTATCATACGAACTGATACATCCGTTTCTGCACTGTCATCAGTTTCATCTCCTATCTCATGAATAGAACTTGTGCTGCTCGAGGAATCTGTCAAGTATACTATTTCAGCTCCAGCCATCTTTTCTACACTTTTCATAACCCAATCACCTCGTGCTTCTGTTATCTCTGGTTCTTTTAATTTTGCACCAACTAAGACACATTGCTGAGGCAACAATTTACCAAAACTTTTTTGTATTGTATTTTGTTTTACAATCTTTGTGCAATATTTGTCTTTATTTTTATTGTCTTCGAAAACATCATCATCCAAATCTTCGTTGTCGCTTATTTTATCATTCAATCGAGAATGACGACGTGATGTAACAGATGATTCACCACTACCTTCTTCATCAATAACATCTAATATTCTAGAAGGACCGAGTCGTTGAGTAACAAAATCTTCTGCCAAGCCTTTTTTACGTAATCTATGTCTAACTTCTCGATTTATAATTTGTTCTATTTCTGTTTTAATTTCAACTGAATTTACATTCGATTTACTAGATAAGTTTAACGTTTGAAGATAATGTCTTAACGATTTTTCTTCTTCGGGTGTAAGTGATTTCGTTTGATCGCATTGAGCTGTATTAAGAGGAATAGTAGTAATAGATAAAGTACCTGTAGCGAATTCCTCCGAGTATGGTAGTTTATTGTGTTGTAAATCATCAATTTCTTCCCATTCTACATCAGATTCTACTTCAGATACTATAGCATTATTACCTTCTATCACTGCAATAGTCATCTCTTCAGATTGATCACAAGTATCATCGGTAATATCAACTATCTGTGGTGCATCATCGTTGTCTAAACTTTTACTTTTTATAGAATTAATTGACTTTGGTTTGTTTTTAATCGTTTGATCTGGAGATTCAACTACATAGACACTATTTTGAATATCAGTGTCATTATTCATCGTTTGTGATAGTGTAACTGGGATAATTATATTATTATTAGTATTATTATTTAGATCCTGATTAAAACTTGCAGCAGAGGTAGAACTGCTTTCCGCACATTGAACTTTGTTGACCAATGAATCGTCAATATTATTTTTTGGCACTTCTTTAATATCAGAAAAATCGTTTACATTGTTTTGAGTTGTTTCAATATCTTCTGTTGAAGTAATTGTACTAGCACTACAAGTCTCACTATTACCGGTATAATTCACATCACTACTATTTTTGTTATTGTCAGTGCGTTGGTTTTTTGCTTTACGCTTATTCTTATTGTTTTTACGTCGCTTTGACCTGTCAGGCATGTTTATATAACACTCAATACACTATTATCACTGATACAATATAATCGTAATCACAGAACACACATTTCGTCCAATCATACACGGTTTTATTAACACCCCGAGTCTGATAATATTTATTACGTAGGAGTGATAGTCCTCACAATATCAGTAGAGCGTCGATGCTAGGGATTTCGAATCGTTCATGTCCCTGGGTCGCGTAGGGCACGCGGGACGGGGACGCTAGGTCGGCTTCGAGATTAGCTATTGTAATTTTCTTTTCAGCGAGCGGTCGCCGGCCGCGGCAGTCGTGCGCTCTGGCGACGATTTACTGATAATTATAAATAGGTTGAAGTGCGCGAGCGCGCTGTGGACTTTATTTTTACGCGGAGACGTGTACACGAGTGCGCGCGCGACGACCGGCTCTCGACCACGAAGGGAGCCGGCGCGCCACCGAGAGGCCGGTTCACTCGCGTTGCACCCGTATGGGCTACCGCATAAGCCGCGTATTGCTAATTAATATTGCACACATACACCATGCCTATTTTAGGTGCAAGTAACGGGGAAGAACTTTAAAACACAATGGATCATAGTTAGACATATTAGGATTTAGGAGATATGAATAAATTTAAGCTACCTATTCATAATTATGCAAACATATGAATGAGTAGGTATATATAGAAAAACATGTATGTTAAGAAACAAAATTTATTAACACAAATGAAAGCCGAAATTAAAGAAACGTTCAAAAAACAACAGTTATATGTATGCATTAAGATTTCTTTGGATGTTTCTATTATGAGTCGCGTCGGCAACCTATGGAAATAATTCTTACCAAAAATAAACGTGTATGTTGGTAAATATCTACTGAATCACATTTAAATGGCTGAATTGAATTAAATAAAAATTGATATGCAAATAGATCACCTTCTACATTTATTATGTATTTACTTTCATTTTATGTAGCCGTCGTCTATATCTAATTTGAAATAAAAATAAATTCTACATAATAAGTACCTTTTTATAAAACAAAATTTAAAATAAGGCAAGGCGTCGGAATAACGAGTTATAGATAATATAAATATCAGAAAAAATAATTTAAAAAAGAAACAAAATATTATAAATTAAATAGGCACATTAAATATAACAATTTTAAATTCAGAATTACAACCATATAACCACATATTTATTAAAATTATTAAGTACAATGAATTAAACAATTTAGGTAACATCATATAATATATGAAAGTGAGATCGTTTTTTCTGTGACCTCTTGGCGCTTTAACGACTCAATCAATCGTATTAAAACTTGGCATACACATAACAGGCATACTAATTAGGGATGAACATGAACAGATCTCGGTCAATCAACATATCCCGATCACGCGGATGAAGTCACGAATAAAATCTTATTTAGTTGTACTTATAAACATGTACTTATAAAATTTAATCATCAGAAGGTTTCCTATTTAATGTAAGTATTATTGAACGATACACCTGACATGACGTATCCCTATATATATCAGGAAATAGAAAATTACAAGTTGGTTAGGTAACGTTGGCTAAAAGTAGACTAACTAGCCCCAGTTTATCTAGACTTGCAGGTCATCTAGACTGATTGACCACTTCCACTGTTATAACGTAGGTAGTCAGCAATCAAATGTTTATCTCAGTGACGTTGACATAAACATTCTGATATATAGACAAATGATTCGTGTTTCTACCGTGAAGCAGTTGTGTTTGCATGGCTGTGTTTCGGTTTGAAGAGTGAGGTACGGAGGAATAACACCTGAGTCCTCGGGAATGGCAACGTATGGGGGGTATCATGGGCGAAACAGTATACTCTGCTATGTCCATGGTACTGCTTGTGTCTATAGGCGACGGTTATCATTTTCCATCAGGTGGACCGTCAGCTTGTTTGCCATTCTAAGTTTTATAAAAATTAAAAAAAAATTATATGTGTATATTGGAAACATAAATGTTTGCCTAAAGTTACATATTTTTCTTTCATTTTTAACTTAAAAGTAAATGCGATACTGAACCATCGAATAAATAATAGTGACCGAACTATATCTATATGTTATTTGGCATAGGCAAGTGCAGGTTGGTACCTACCTATTATAATTATTTATTAGAACTAGATAATAATTTTTATGTAGGGACCTATATAATCATCGATTTTGGATTTTTTGTTAATTTTATTTCAATATTTAAGTAACAAATACTCGACATTAAAATTGAATATTCAAAATAAACTTCTTGTTTTTCTGTATATGCTCCTAAATATTTATTTCAGTTTTCAAATTGGTGTTTTATCTGTTATTTAGACATTAAACGATATCATCTTAGCGTAAAGGGTTATGTTTAATATTCCATTCACAATGTTAGACTATTAGGCTGGACCACCAAAATAAACAAAGTACACCAGTGATCTTGTCTTTCATTACAAATCTGCCAACACTGAGATAATTTACTAAATAGGTATGTATAGACGTAGTTAGATAGATTATCTCCTGTTACGTATATTTTTACGACGTTCACACAACGCAAAAATATCTTTATTGACATGTTGATTATTACATACATTTAGTAATTTCGACTATATATTTTGTGTTGACATTTAAAGCGATATTTTTATATATATAATAAAAATCAATTAATCTGAACGATAACTTTTATACTTAATATTATTATTCTAAAAAAATTTCTAACCAAATACTCGTACACTACCTATTCATCACCCACTAAACTACTTACTCAAAAAATAAATTTAAAAAGAGTATGTTTATCATTATTAGAACGTTAGCACAATTTTTCTATATTGCATTATTGCATCACTATACAAAGAAAAAAGTTGGAAAATATTCCTAACGATTTTCTATAGGGATTTTTTATTCAAAATTGCATTAAATAAAGAAATATAAAAAACTACATAAGTTTTTGTAGTCTATGCGATGCTCAGGCTAGAAACTTATATAAATGTTCAGTCAATAAATAATATTATATATGACATGCTATGATATTTTTACTTGATTTTCACGAACTCATTTCTTCTTCAGAGAAAATTTTATGTATCTCATTCATGTCCTACTTTCAATTTGAAGATATATATAAAAGCAAAATACATTGAAATAGGTCAAGACTATTGTTCATGCGCTAAACATGTTTAAATCAAGATTTAGTATTCATTCAAGAGCGTACATATGGTATATTTTTAACGCTATTTTGCCTGCTGAGTAGACAGAGTTCTATATCACATCATAATTAGTATTTATTACAGTAGTGCAATATCAAATGTTTGGTTACTCTTGGCTGAATGGATTCAAATGAAATTTCGTACACCTGCCTGTATAAGGTGGCGTCATTGCATAAATATATGGGATTGATTTAATCGAGTTCGGTATCTATGTGATACCTATGTAGTGATATGTATTCAATATGGGCCTGCGACAAAATAGAAAACATTTTGGAGATCAGCATTTGTTATTTCCATCTGTTTGGTTAGATGTCTACATAAAAATACTTACAATGGAAGAATAAAAATAATTATTATGTTATTCTTTACGAAATGACATATTTTACTACAAATGACAAATGGATATGAAGTACTAAAGTATCTTATCGATGTGGGGAATCAACATATAGCGTGCTCACTGTAATAATTATATTGATTGTATTCGTCGTTTCTGTCTAAACCTAACATTAAGACAGGAGATTACTAATTATAAAATTATGATTACTAAAAATTCCAAATAGAAAGTGACGCAAATTGAGTGCTTTTGTAGCTATACAGTCGCGAGCACGTGCACGCGTGGTCTTCCAGAAATATCGACTCAGACGTTTCGCTTTCTGAGTGACAATAAAAAATAGTAATTTTGATATTTGTTTTTGGTGAATGTGGAATAACAAACGGACGTTCGGCATCGGTATTGCTATGCATGACATAATCGCCGGATAGATCCGGGCTAGTGTGCCAACTGCCAACACACCGCGGTCACAAGCGTCTGTGGTGCTTTTTTGGCACCATTTCAAAGGGTTATCAGGTGAACTCGTAGATTGCACGCATATATGCTGTTTACAGTGTTACGCTTAAACCAGAGACACGTAAATAACATTAAACTCTTTAGCTCTAATTAGAAAAAGTTATTTCCAATACCAAAAACGAATTGTTTCTACGACGAAACATTCTCGAGTAAAATAGTAATAGAAGTTTCTAAAATTCAATATAATATTAAGAGTTTCTTTCAGGGTATATATTTTTATAAAACTAACTTAATAGAATAAAACATTGGACTTGAGTAAATTATTGTAACATATATTAGTGTTGTTACTTCTTACCTATAGGAAAAAAATGTCTGGTAAGGTAGTTGACTTATCAAACTTTCATTGACCAAATTGGAGACATCCCAAAATAAGTATTCCAAATATTATTTCGTATAAAAATGTAGTTAAATAGAAAACCTCCTTATTAAAAAATAAATAAAGAAAAAAGTAATTTGAAAGTCAATTAAAAACTTAAAAAGCGTTTATAAATATTAAATATCCCAAAGTTAATAAAGTTCTAGTAGGTATCTCTTCGTATAACAGGGTCAAAGCATGTACAAGAACAAAATACGAGTAGTATCTTTAGTCGGCCGCCTCGCTATCGAGCTATTTTACTTGCTAATACAGACGGACGGTCTAGCGAGCATAATATATCCTGTTATCTTGTTTCTTGTCATATGTATGTGACAGCTACAGGAAACTAATTTCAGTATGATATACTGACAGCGCCAAGTTTGAATCCAGCAACTTTTCTTTCTTACGAAAAGATATGAAAACCTGATACTTATATAACCACATACACTATGTCTACCTACTGTAATGCATAATACTTCAATGGCGTATAAGTACCTCGTCTACTATGTGGTTGAGGTAAGTCCCAGAGTGATTCAAGATCTTGAGGGTTCATCAAACAACAGGCACTTAGTCATTGTAGTAATATATAATATCAATAATGTAAAGTCTTGATCAGTATTATGACAAATCAGGAAAATAAAATATTTACATGGACTATTATTTAAATCCCAATATTTAAAAAATAATTTAAAGAAGTTTTAAGATAATATACCTATCGGATTATTCATATGATTTATATATCTATTTAAATACAATTACATACTGTTATACGTATATATCATTATAGCCGTAATACGTATTCGAAAACTACTAAAAAGTTGGACAATATCCAATGCAATTTGTATATCCGATATAATGATGATGCGTGTAGTAGATATCTATTATTACATAGATGGTTTTCCCCTAAAGTATTGTACATAACGACGTAAATTAAGAATTAAATGTGATCTGAATGATACAGCAAATAAAATATAAGTTTTACGGTAAAGAGCGCATGAGTCACTTTGCTCAAGTGTACTAC